TCGTCGTTACGTGTTGGGGGAGTTGGTACGCCTGTCACCTTGGGGTCCTTGGCCAAATCAGGTGTGAGAAGGAGGTCGCGTAGCATGCAGTCGGCGGTTGGGTTTGCGATGTTGGAAAACCCGGTTGGGAGGTGCACAGGCGGTGTCAAACTGGAAGCTGTGGGCCAGCTGGGCATGCTATTCCGTAGGTTGGCCAGCTTTTCGCGCATCGAGTCACCTGCGGGGGTATAAGTTTTTTTCTTATCGAGGTTCTCCACCCAGCACCCAGTGCACAGCCACCGGCAGTTGAGTCCCTCGTGCCACCCTGCTATCCTTGCCGTAGCCAGACGTTGACGCATATCGTTGTCCTCCCAGGTGCCTTCGATGTTTGTGGAGGGGCCTCTCTGACAGTCGTCGCAATAGAGGCTGGCAGTGTTCTGTGACGCCGAGAAGCGCCGGTCCCCTGTTCGGAGCTTTTTCGGTGTCACTGTGGCGCCCAATTTCGCTGTAGGGGGTTCAGGTGTGAGAAGGTCCTTTTGGTCCATCGCTCGCCCTGTGCCGGCATACTGCAGTTTCTGGTCCGGGGTGCGCCCGAGATGCTTGTGATTCCCTGTGGTGGATTTGTAGAGCCAGCTGATGGTGCAGCTGGTTGTATCGTTGTCAGGCTGGTAGGAACCAGCGGTACTTGGAGCGGTTCGATGAGCTGGTCGACCACCAGCAGGATCCCTTTGATGTGGAAGTCAGTACGCTTGCATTATTGCTGGTGGGGTTATTTTTTTTGATTCGCGGCCCGCAAGGAGAAGTCCAGAGGGCGGAGTGACCGATGCTGGGGCACAGCGACAGATAATTGGCGCGACAACGCGCAGAGTGCACCTGCAGATAATTAACGACGCTGGACATGTGCCAGCAAAAGAGGCACCCGCGAAGGCACCAGCTGAAGCCCAGGCGCCACCACGCGGACCCCAAAAGCCGCTGAGCGCTTGCCTGCAGAAGGGGGGCGGGCGCAAACAGGTCGGACCCGCAGGTGGAGAACCGACTGCCGGGCGGAACGTGCCAAAACCACTCACGTACCTCCTAGGGCGCGGGCCAGAGTGTAAGCCACCGAAGGGGTTAGGGCCAATGCTTGAAGGGTGCCAGCCAACTACAGGAGAGGGCGTCCGCGATGGCCGCAGGTACCAAGCCGGTGTGGAGCCTCCGCTCCCAGAAGGCCCAACTGTGGCAGGAGCCGACGTCAGCACGAGCGTCAGGGCGGTGCCTTTGGCCGACGACCGTGTCCGCCGCGGGCCGGCAACCGGCCAACATATGAGTCCAAAACTGCCGACCGCACTGTCTACACGCCCATGTGTAAGGGGGGTCAGAGGTGATCGCCGCTCCTGCGGGCGACGACGTGGAAGTCACTGCACGTTGCCGACTCCAAAGGATGGGGCACCTGGAGGGCTGAGGCCAGCGTCCGATGCGTCCCTGCCCGCACACGGCGCGGGCAAAGTGACTGAGTGGAGCGTGCCGAGAGCGGGAGAAAGCGCCTTGAGCGAGCCATCTCGGAGCACCACGGGCCGCCACTGCGGCCAAACCGACGACGGGACTATTTCAGCCGGCCGTACGGGCTAAAGGCCCATGAGAACGCAGGAACTATCGCGGTGGTGGGGGGGTACCTCAACCCCAGGAGGTAACATCAGTCCGCCCCCGTGGCCCACTGCATCGGTGAAACACGACCTGTCGCTGGCTGTGTCGACAGGTGTGGCCGCCTGGTGGGAACCCAGTGGCCCTGGGGCCCACCGCAACTCATCTTTCCGGTGAGCTGGATACTGGTGGGGTTACGCGAAGCGTGAAGAATTTCGGTGGCAACTCATCGGAGCCTCCCATAGCATCTTGTCGGCTCTTGCGAATCGACGCTAATTGACGCTGAATCGACGCTAATCGACGCAAACCGACGCTACATAGGTGCCATCTCACCGACAATCCGACGCTAATCGACGCTGAAGACGGAATCGCGAGGGTACACAAGGCCCCCACGATCTGCTACCAAAGGAGAAGGCACGTTGTAGTTCACGTGGTCCTTTGGGGCCCCAGCGTGCGCCGGCGCATCTTCCTGCCACGGAGTACGCCCCCCTGCGGAGGATGGTAGAAGGGGCCCTGGGACACACAAATAACAGGATTCCCAGTATGTTCCCATATGTGTTGGGTTTTTGTCTTCCCCCCCACTTCCCATATTTTCTCATATTTCCGGGTGATCGACGATGAATTGCGCCTGCGTTTTTCCCCTCCTGATATTCTAGAACCGAGCAGCGACGCTTCAGCCCTTGCGGAAGGCTGCGGGGGCCAAGTGACGCACATCGGGATCGGCGCGGCGCGTCGTATCGAGTATATAGAGGACCCGCGTACGCCCGCGAACGATTGGGCTGGACCTCTCAAGCCGCACGCGGGCGACGTGCTTTGCCCCGCTGCCTAGCCAAATCGACTCGAATCCAAGCAGGATCGAAACACCGCGAAACAAAATCATCACACCCCGCACCCGAGCATCAATGCACCAAACAAAGCACTAGAGCGAAAGTCTGAAATTGAAACCCACATTCAGAACTAACCATCCTTATCCTCATCCTGTTGATCCTCCTCGAGTTCGTCTGGCCCGTGCTGCTTCTTGTTCCCCAATCACTGTTTGCCCTTAAGGGGCTCTGACGTGTTTGTCTACGGCATCTGGGCCCGACAGCGTCGGTCTGCCGGCCTCGTGGTCGCCATCGCCGACCCGTCGCCGCGCCGTCGCCGCCCGTCGTCTGGGCCGGACCGTCGGTCTGCTGGCTCCGCGGTCGCTGTCGCAACCCTGTCGCCGCCATGTCGCCGCCCGTCGTCTGGGCCTGACCGTCGGTCGGCTGGGCCCGTGGTCAAAGGCGCCGACACGTTTCCGTTTCGTCGCCGCCCGTCGTCTGGGCCTGACCGCGTCGGTCTGGTGGTTTCGTGGTCAAGGGCGCCGGCCCGTCGCCACCTCGTTGCCGCCCGTCGTCTGGCCCTGATTGTCGATCTGGCGGCCCCGTGATCGCCGTCGGTCTGACAAAATGGATTATCCTTCCTAACAAAGAATGGGGATTTCCTCCCCCCCGGGTTACCGGTTCACCTTTTCGTGGTGCAATTTACATATGCCTGTGCCCCATCTGGGAGAACAGAAAGCCGACACCAAGACCAAGAAAAGATGTGTCCCGTGAAATTTTGAATTGAGTTATGGGCCAGCGCGACCCCGCCCCTGCCCGAGGAAACGCAAAGCGGCCGGGAAGGGCGTGGGAAAGGAGACGTCGCGCAGCAGGTAGGAGGGAGAGCAAGAAACAAAAAGAGCAAGCGAGAGCCGAAACTGGCGGGCGCTCTCGGGAAAGGAGAGGACAAATATGGAAGAATGCGGCATCCTCCATGACCGAAGCCTCACCCCCCCACCGCCGCCTCCCCCCACGCTTCCCCCCGCCCGCTCGCCCCCCTCATATGTCCCCCCCCCCTTCCCCACACCCGCCCTGTTTCCGCCCGTGTCGCATCCCTGACCCTCGATTTGCCCGAAGCCAATGCCCGACGATTCCGAACCGCCTACTCCCCGCCAAAAGGGGGGCGGCGGCCGCCCTGCGCGTCTGGGGCCAAAGACCGTGGCTCCCTCTTGACCTGGACCCGGAGCCCCTGGCCAACTTCAGAAAAAGTTGAAGGGTTCAGCTCGCCCATGGGGCCGCCGTTCGAGGGGGCCTTGGCGTTGGCGTCGGTTTTCTGATGTTGCAGGAAACGAAAAGTCGGCACCAGCACTAAATCGCCACTGGAAAAATTGGGAGCGCTTTCCCTGTGGGGGCTGAGCGACCCAAAGGAACCTGGAAAACTTGAAATGGCTCGCGTTGCTCTCTGGATTTGCAGGTCAGGGGGCTTGCGTGATAGAAAAGCGTCCCATAGGGGGCTCATGGCGCCCCTAGAGCCCATGGGGTTTCCATGGCCCGCGGGATTCGCAAGGCCCAGAAACCCGATGTGGCCCTGACGAGTCAGGGGGCCCATGGGGCCCGCGCAGTTTGCTGGGTCAGCGCGGCGCATTGGGCCCATGCGCCATGCGGAGCACGTGAGTCCCAAGAAACCTTTGTGGGACTTGCGGGGTTCATCGGGCCAGGTGGGTTCGCGCGGCCCACGGGCCCCGCGCGGCCCATGGAAATCCGAACACCCACCTGGGGAAGTAGAAAGAGCCCGCCTTGTTCCCACGCGCTTAAAACTGGCACTCGTCAGCGCGGAACACGCGAGCCCGAAGACACGGGCGACGGCAGTCAACGGAGGCTATGGTTTTTTTTTCCAATGGGATCTTGGCGTTGGTGTCGGGGCCCGGTGCGCCGACCATCGCCCATCTAAAATGAACTCGCACCACCCCAGCTAAACCGGGATCGGCCCCCTTTTTCCTCATCCGCTGCAAGAGATACGATGCGCGCGCATATGTTTATCAAATATGATCAGTGCGCAAGAACCCGGTGGGAGAACGAAAAAATCAGGAAAAACACCCGCGCGCGTCGTCGCGCGCGCATGCCGTAATCCTTCAAAACAGAAAGTACTGAAAGTGTGTGAAGTTGTCACAATCGAGTGCCCAAACAACACTTAAACCGCGCATGTTTTTGCAACGAGCATGTTCAAAACTTCTTGCGCTCGCGCACTTGAACAGAGAAAAGCTGGTTTATCAA